GTTCTCCAATTATTTTCAGCTCAACGAAAAACGGAAAACAAAAAAAAGGTTAAAGAGTTTCCCTGTTTACGTGACTCATTGGGTCAGTTGGCTTGAAAATTTCCCCAATTTTCCCCAAATTTCCAGTGTTTTCTCTCAAAATTCCTTCAACAACTGTGCATTTGTTTGAAAAAAAAAGAAAAAAGATTTGATGGATTTGATGGAAAAAAAAGCTTTTCTTTGAGTTTCTTTGAGTTTCTTTGACTTTTCTTTGACTTTCTGGGCTTTCTGGGCTTTCTTTGACTCTCTTTGACTCTCTTTGGCTTTCTTTGGCTTTCTTTGACTTTTTTTTACTTTTCTTTGACTTTTCTTTGACTCTCTTTGACTTTCTTTAACTTTCTTTGACTCTCTTTCGTTTTTAGGGCATTTTGGTGGAACGCCGTTGGTATATAAATGATTTAAAAAGTCTTATTTTGAAAAAATTCTCAAGTAAATATTTTGCTGAATCATTTGAAAGTATAGAGAATTTTGATGTTCATCAAAATATTTATCAAAGCTCAAAATTTATCATAGCTCAAAATTTGTGAGTGTTTCTTTGTGAATTTCATTTTTAGCAGAGGGTTTTGCTTACTTATAAAGCTTACTTATAAAGCTTACTTATAAAGCTTACGTATAAAGCTTACTTATAAAGTTTACTTATAAAGTTTACTTATAAAGCTTACTTATAAAGCTTACTTATAAAGCTTACTTATAAAGTTTACTTATAAAGCTTAGGTATAAAGCTTACTTATATACGTCTCTTCTCCAATATAAAGATGAAATTTAAAACCCTGTTCAGGACGATAAAAGAATAAATCTAAATGTTCGAAGGGAGTAAACTTCGAAGTAAACTTCTTAAGTAATTTGTAAGTTTGAAGGAAAACAGCAATAATTTCCTGGTATTTGAGATTGGGTTGAGGCTTGAAAAGTCACTTTTTAGACTTTCAATCCGGATTTTTTTACTTACGACTAGCCAAAGATCAGTCGAATTTGTTCAACTTTTATTTTAATCATTTCTTCTTTTTCTTTTCTTCAATTTTTCTTTTGTTTTTTTTTGTTTTAGGTTTTAATTTTTTAATTTTTTAATGTTTTAATGTTTCTTGACTATTTTTGTATCAAGTTTAAAGTTTAAAAAAAGGCTAAAGATTCTGCAATGCTCGCGTCTCTTGTCGAAATACAATAATGAAAAGTTCAATCATCAAAACTGAGCAAAAGTTCTTTCAAAATTTGAAAACTAATGATCTGAACACCTTAGTAAGGTAAAGTAAAGCAGGAATATGGAACTAAAGAATATGGAGGATCAAGATTCTAGATACAGTAATCTAAAGAGAAATGGCTGAAGGAAGCATGTTGTTGGAGATAAGAGAACTTTTGTGATAGGGCTCTGATACGGCCCTGATACGGCCTTGGTACGGCCTTGGTACGGTCCTGATCCGGCCTTGATATCATTACAAAACTGTTTGAACTTCTAAGGGATTCATTGAGAGAAATGCATTAAAGAATATGAAATATCAAGATTTCGAATAGGTTCCGATTAGGTTTCGATTAGGTTTTGATTGGATTCCGAATAGGTTTCGAAGAGGTTTCGAATAGGTTTCGATTAGGTTTTGATTAGACTTCGATTGGATTCCGAATAGGTTTCGATTAGACTCGGATTAGGTTCTCATTCGGATAGGAATGGCAAAGGTTTCCGGAGAGGGGATTGAATCCTCGGCGTTTCCCTCGACCTTTCCCGATCATTTGCTTTCCGAGCAGATCCTCTAACCACTGTGCTCTAACGCTAACCGCTATCCGGTACCTGGACTTTCCAAGAGAAAGAGGGGATTAGGTTTTGATTGGATTCCGATTAAGTTCCGAATAGGTTTCCAAGAGGTTTCGATACAAGGGGGAAGAAAAAAAGAAAAAAAAAAGAGAAGGATAAAGAGGAAAGGAGGAAAGGAAAAAAAGTGTAGGATAAACATTAAATAATAACAATTTCTATTTAGAATTCAATTTTCAGCAAATACGTTTGCTCAGCTGTGTTTTTGAAAAGATATTTTGCTTCTTCTAAAAAAATTATTTGATCAAAGATTTGTATAATTTGTGGAAAAATTCATTTGCTTAGCTTTAGTTCATTTGCTGTTTAGTTAGAAGCGATTTTTAAAAAACAAGCAGTAAGCAAACAAGCAGCAACAAGCAGTTTTTGTTTATTTTCATTTGTATACTCAAATGTTTCTTGTTTCTTGTTTTTTTTTTTTCAGTTTTCTATATAATATTTGTCTCTTTTTGAAAGAATTCATTAAAATGTTTAAAATTTTGAATTTTTGAATACTTTATTGTGCTCTTGAGTTCTTTAAAAGTTACTATTTAGCGATCAATACTTTAGCGATTAATACTACTATCAATAGCTACTAAATAGTAGCTATCAAATTACTATTTATTTCCATATTTGATTTTTCTTTGTAAAATTCTGATAAACAAACATGTTTCATGTTAAAACAATGAAGATTAGTACGCTAGAACGTTCACGTTTACGGCCTTTCTATGGTTCTTTGTAGTGCACTTTGTAGTGTGCTGATAGTGTACTTTGTAGTGTACTTTGTAGTGTACTTTGTAGTTTACTTTGCAGTGTACTTTGTAGTCTACTTTGTAGTCTAGTTTGTAGTCTAGTTTGTAGCCTACTTTGTGGTGTACTTTGTAGTGTACTTTGTAGTGTGCTGGTAGCGTACTTTGTAGTGCACTTTCTGCTCGAATATAAACTGCTTTTAGTGCACTGGATTCTTCATTCTTCTTGAAACAACGGGAACGAAAGTGCACTAGAAATGGTGCGTTTCCCGTGAGCTAGTAAACTAGGATTTAGTCTTAATCCATCCATATCATTCTTTTATCTTTCTCCTTCAACAGTTAACTGGCCAGCTTTGTTTACAGTTAACTGGCACAGTTTTGCTTACAGCTGACTGACCAGCTTTGCTTACAGTTAACTGCCAGCTTTGTTTACAGCTGACTGACCAGCTTTGCTTACAGTTAACTGGCACAGCTTCGTTTCCAGTTAACTGCTTTGCTTTGCTTACAGCAACTGACAGGCATGAAAATATGAATTTTCTATGCCTTTATGAAGATTATGTGTCTCTTTGTCCAATTCTCATATTGCTTCTTTCCAAAACCTCCTTGATGACTCAGAAAATAACCTAAATCATCACTTCACATCACTCCTTTGAAACAATCCCTCTTGTCACATTTTCCGCTCTTTTTTTTCTCGATTTGCCAAACTGAAGAGATTTTTTGCGGGGAAAAGGAAAACAAAAGGGAAAACGAACTTGCAAATAGAGCTCTCACAAACAGATGACTGACTCATTCAACAATCTCAGGTTCAACCAGTTTTAGAACTGTTTTTTAGAGAATTATTTGAAAAAGTGTGAACCCGGGTTAATCTTTTGATATTTAGATGAGTAAATCTACTTTCAAAAGTTCTCTTTTAAAGTTTTCTTTTGAATTTTTGTAAAATATTTGAGCTAGCGCATTTAAAAGCTATACTTACTTGCTTCTTTTTTTAAAATAGCGAAAACTTTTATCCTAATTTATGTTCCAAATAAGCTCAGATTATTTTACAAAACTTAGCTAAAAAAGTTACACTGGAGAGACTTCTAACCGAGGAGGTGTCGACTGAGAAAACTGAGGCTCAAACAACAACTATTTATTGCTTGATTGGTAAGCTTGATCCTTTTGAGGCAAACGGTAAACGGTAAACGGTAAACGGTAAACGGCAAACGGTAAACGGTAAACGGCAAACGGTAAACGGTAAACGGTAAACGGTAAACGGTAAACAGTAAACGGTGCTTTTTGGAATGGCGAGTTGTTCGGTCTAACGGTTCTACTCCGGACTTCGATAGACGCTCAATGGCTGGTCGAAGATTCCTCGCGCGAGCCAAATTTTGATTTGGTTCCTTTTCTCTACAAATTTGGTTCCTCTTCTCCACAGATTTGATTCCTTTTCTCTACAAATTTGGTTCCATTTCTACTACTACGTCGACAACGACTACTACTACCACGACGACCACGACGACAACTACTACAACGGTAGAATCGATCATTTACTAATTAAATCCAACGTAGAAAGATTGAACTAAATCGAGGGAAATTTTATCGTCAATTTTATCGTTCCATTTCTCTACAAATTTGGTTCCTTTTCTCCTTAAATTCCGCGATTGAACCCTGTCTATTCTTGTCTAAGATTGCATTTTAACATTGTTGTTATATTGAAAGATTCAAGATTGACCTCAGAGCCTTAGAGCCGAGTGTTGAGTGAGTGACAATAATCGGAGAGGGGGCGGAGGGGCAGGGAGGGGCAGGGTGAGCCTCCCCTCCCTGACCCTCCGCTCCCTCCGAATCACTCTCTGTCCCCTCAATCCGGTTCATCCTCCCATTGCTTACGCATCTTTTCCCCACTTTTTTTGTCTACTTTGATCTCCATCGACTTCCCGCTCTTTGTCCTTTCATTCAAATCATTTCCCTCCTTTTCAAACACCTCTGACTGTTCGCTTTTTTTCGAGCTAAAATAATTTATTTCTTCTGAAGTTATTGTTGTTATAAAGTTGTTGAATTTATGATTTTCTTTTAGATTTTAAAGTTTAAATTGAATAATTGTGATCTTTTTTACATTTTTAATGTTTTAAATGATTTTATTATCTTTTTATTCTACACTAGAAAGTTATTCAAAAAAAATTTCTCTAAAAAGCTATTAACTGGATTTATTTAGCATTTAAAACTAAAGAAATTGAAGTTAATGATAAGCTAAGCTATAGCTAATTGAAATTTCTCTGTTCACTTCTTTTGAAATAGTAGATTTACAATACTTAAAGTTTTCTACATCCAAAGTTTTGCTTGTCTCTTTATCCGAATTCTATTTTCTACTTTTCTACTTTCTATTTTCTACGTTTTTGCCCGAAACCTTATATTCTAATTATCTAATTATCAAAATTTCCAGAACATCCAAAGAAGGAGCCATGCGGCTCCCATTACTACTTTTCTTGGCTCTTTATGGGCACACAAAAACCGAGGAGGTGACGACAACGGTGAAAACTGAGGCGAAAACAACAACTCCTGTACCTCAAACAGCCCTGCCGGTTAGCTTTAAATATCTATATCGTAAAATAAAGCTGTAGATCTAGGAATAACTGTATATCCAGGAATAGCTGTATATCCAGGAATAGCTGTAGATCCAGGAATAGCTGTAGATCCAGGAATAGCTGTAGATCCAGGAATAGCTGTGGATCTAGCAATAACTGTGTATCTAGCAATAGCTGTATATCCAGGAATAGCTGTATATCTAGCAATAGCCAAATCAGATCAACTGGTTGAGCTCAATTCCAAGCTTCGCTGCCACATTTCTCATTGTAATCTAGAGCAAAGAGCTCAAGCTAGGTCAGATCAAGCTAGGTCAGATCAAGCTAGATCAGATCAAGCCAGCTCAATTCAAGCCAGCTCAAATCAAGCCAAGTAAGGCTCAAAACCAGATTAGATAAACTTTAGTCAGTCCAGGCATCAGTCCAGATGCCAGTTCTAGGTTTGGCTGGCTCTGACACCTTTTTTATCTAGCTAGCTCAGAAATGAAGCTGATTTTGTCTTGGCTTTAAAATACCGGACGATGTAATCTTACTAGCAGTTGAAGCTCCGGATTACTAGCAGTTGAAGAATTACTAGCAGTTGAAGCTCTGGATAACTAAATAGCTAAAATATCTAAAGATCTAAATATCTAAATATCTAAATAGCTAAAATAACTAAAGATCTAAATATCTAAATATCTAAAGAGCTGAATCTCTAAAGATCTAAATATCTAAATATCTAAATATCTAAAGACGTAATTATTTTTAAACTATCAAGTTTCCCATTAATTTTTCTTCCATTTAGCCGCTGCCAACTCGGATCTTGCCCACCGTGCCGACCACAACGCAAGCGCCCGAAAAAATTTAGTAAGTTTTAAGAATTTAGATAAATTTCTATATAAATTTCTATATAAATTTCTCTGGGGGTGGGACAAAGGTGCACCTTTTTTTTGCGCACCCGACCAAAAGCGCAGCATTTTTTTTCGCTGGAAAAGGCCTTAGAAAAGGCCGTAGAGCTTTAAAAATGTTTCCACATAGGGGAATCATATGCGTAGATTCCGAATTTCGACAAATTAGAACTCGCTGACACGTCAAATTTGGGCTAAGAGGCAAAAACTGCGGAAAAGCGTTAAGTTGCGTAGTTTTTGCCTTTTAGCCCAAATTTGATGTGTCAGCGAGGCCTGATTTGTCGAAATTCGGAATCTACGCATATGATTCCCCTATGTGGAAACATTTTTAAAGCTCTACGGCCTTTTCTAAGGCCTTTTCCAGCAAAAAAAATGGTGCGCTTTTGGTCGGGTGCGCAAAAAAAAGGTGCACCTTTGTCCCACCCCCATTTCTCTATAAATTCTTAAAACTAATAGATTTCTTTATGTTTCTGTACTATCTAAAATCTCTTTTCGAACATTTCAGCGCTGGTTCCTATATGGTTGTTGCTCCAAAAACCGTTCGTCCAGGTCTTCCATATGCCGTTTCGGTGAACATTCTGAAATCCCAGGAACAGGATCACATTGTTCGGTGAGTTTATTGTAGCTTTATTGTAGCTTTATTGTAGCTTTATTGTAGCTAACGATATGCAAATTGATATCTGATTTTAATTATAGAAGATTCTCTTCTTTAGGGTCGAGATTCGTACCGATAAAAACGATACGATTGGCGCGAAAGTCGTCAACAGTGTTCAGTCAGGTAAACAAAGAAATATTAAGTTGATTATTTAGATATTTAAGTTATAGAGAGTTATAGAGAGTTAAAGAGATACTTTCTCTTGATATCTGCTCTTTCCTAGAACGATTTTATTGTAGATTTCTTTTAAATCTATTATCTTAGGCTCACCACAAACGGTTACCATCGATTCGCTGCCCGCCGACGCACTCGTCTCAAGCAACAACTACAAGGTACAGCCATTTAAAAAGCTACAGCTATTTAAAAAAGCTACAGCTATTTGAAAAGCTACAGCTATTTGAAAAGCTACAGCTATTTAAAAAGCTACAACAATTTAGAAAGCTACAGCTATTTAAAAAGCTACAGCTTCTGTACTGACTAAATACACTGTTTTACAATAGCAACATACCAAGTAATTGCCAAGTAATCAATTAAATTAAAAAAATTAACCGAAATAAAGAAGGGATCATTTTTAAAGCATTTTTTTTTATCAGATCAGATCATTTTTATCATTTTCAATCATTTTGATTAGATCAGATCATTTTTCAGTCTATTTAAATGCCAAAATCAAATGTGAATACGATATGGCTGTTTTCATTTTAAATTCCGAAACCTAAAAGCAAAATCTAGATAGAATTCGATAGTGCAATAGTAGTAATAGTAGTGCGATAGTAATAGTAGCGCACGAGCCGAGTTGATGACGATTTTACGGTTCCCGAGCTTTCCCAGAAGCTCAACACTCTAATCATCGTCAAGATCTCATCGTCAGCTACATTTTCCGACCCCACATCGATAGGTTCTGATAAGCTGTTCTCGAGATTTCGAGGAATTTAAGCGAAGCGGGGAATTGGGGAAAGCAATGAACCGAAAGTTGCGTTTTGACTAAACAAAACCCAAGTTTTGTTGATTGATCGAGTTCTTAACGTTAGCTAAGCTAAGAATTTGCTACTTAAGCCCCGCCCTTCTTTAAAAATAGACCCAAAAGCCAGATTCTCCATAGCTGAAAACCCCTGGGAGCGCGCGCAAAGCTGAATGCTCTATCCTCTCTAATAGTAGTCCGTCGAGCCGAGTTGATGACTATTTTACGGTTCCCAAGCTTTCACAGAAGCTCAACACTCAAATCATCGTCAGCTACATTTTCCAACCCCACATCAATAGGTTCTGATAAGCGGTTCTCGAGATTTCGAGGAATTTAGGCAACGCTCTGGGCGCACTACTATTAGAGAGAAATTTGTTTTTCCTTAATTTTATCCACTTTGACCCCCACCCCCACCACCAACCACTCTTGACGTAAAAACGAGATCGAGATTTCCAGAGTCTTGGATTTGGACCGATTTCAAGTCAAGGTCGTAGATTGATAAAGGATTTTAAAGAATTACCGGATACTTTCTAATCGTAGTCCGTCGAGCCGAGTTGATGCCTATTTTACGGTTCCCAAGCTTTCCCAGAAACTCAAAACTCTAATCATCGTCAAGATCTCATCTTCAGCTACATTTTCCGACCCCACATCGATAGGTTCTGATAAGCGGTTCTCGAGATTTCGAGGAATTTAAGCGAAGCGGGAATTGGGGAAAGCAATGAACCGAAAGTTGCGTTTTGACTAAACAAAGCCCAAGTTTTGTCGATTGATCGAGTTCTTAACGTTAGCTGAGTTAAGAATTTGCTACTGAAAGTTGAAAAAAACTTCCAGACTACTACGTTTACTACAGATTACGTTACTAATTTTTTCTTTTAGGTCTACGTTCGCTGTGAAACAATCGGCGGAAAGGTTCTCTTCGAAGCGGAACAATCGGTCAACTACAACTCAAAGAGCATGTCGATCTTTGTGCAAACTGATAAAGCTATTTACAAGCCTGGATCCACAGGTATGATAAAAACTCAAATACTCAAATTATCTCAGCTTTTAGTAAAATATCGTGTCATTCTCGTGAATCCGGACTTGACTCCGTACAAAGAAAGCGTGTCGATAAAAATCGTCGACCCAAATCAGAATGTAATTCAACAGAAAGTCGATGAAGGACTCACAAAGGGTGAGGAAAAGTTTTGAATTTTAAGCTGGATTCGTCTGAATTCAATGGCTGGACTAATGGGTTGGACTAATGGTTTCAGAAATTTCCTTTAAATTCACTTTTAGGTGTGTTCTCCGGTGAGATTGAGTTGGCCACTGAGCCACCACTTGGCGACTGGCAGATCAACGCCGAGAGCAAGAATGGAGTCAAGTATACGTGGGTTTTTAAGTGAATATCATTAGGTACATGTTGTCGACATGTTGTGTTAGGCATTGGGTTTTTTCTAGACTCAAAATTGAAAGGCCAAAGCCGAGCAGAAATCCAGCTTTCTTGGCTCATAGTTAGAGCCAAGTCTGGATCAGGCCTGGATCAGGCCTGGATTCAGATGACCTGGTTGACCTGGATCAACTTTCTAGACCAGAACAAGTCAAGAAAGGACCAGGCTAGAGCCAGATCCAATTTTCCAGGCTCAGGCTAGAGTCAGACAAGGGTTAGGACAAGCTAGGCCAGGTCAAGACAAGCTAGGCTAGGTCAAACCAAGCTAGGCCAGGTCAAGACAAGCTAGGCTAGGTCAAACCAAGCTAGGCCAGGTCAAGACAAGCTAGGCTAGGTCAAGACAAGACAAGCCAAGTCAAGCCAAGACAAGCCAAGACAAGCCAAGACAAGCCAAGACAAGCCAAGTCAAACTTTCAGCGTCAGTCTAGGAAGTTATCTTTCAGATTTTAAGCTGTAAATTCCTGTCAGATGATGAGATCTTGATCTTTTCATTTCAGCAAATCGTTTTCCGTCGAGAAATACGTGTTGCCGAAGTTTGAGGTGAACATCAAGACGGCTCCATTCATCACGACCACCGACGATTTGGGTGTTTTCGTCAATGCAAAGTGAGTCAAAATATCAAAATCATTTTAACAGAGGAAGCTTCTTTTAAAGATATTCAACTAAGCAAATCATTTTAGATACACTTACGGAAAGGGTGTCGCTGGAAAAGCAAAAGTCATCCTTGAGCAACCCTATCAACGTTGGTACGCGCCGAGACCCGTCCTTGTGAAAAGCGATGGAACCACCACTGAGGTAGCTGGATTTTGGATTATAGATAGTCTATAAATACGTAGTTACATGCATGATTCAGTTAATCAAGTTCTTTAGGGAGAAGGTGAAACGCTGCTCGAGAAAACGATCAAATTGAGCAACTCTGGCGAGGGATCAGTCACTTTCACAAACAAGGAGCTCAAGGATTACCAGCTTGTTCGGGTAAAACTAAATGCAGAAATTTATTGCGAATTTAGAAATTAGCTTTTAAATTCACTTATATTATCGAATTTTAGGATTGGGGCTCATCGGTGCGCGTGATCGCTGTGGTGACCGAAGATCTCACAGAGATCGAGCGGAACAACACTCACACTGTATGTAGGACTCAAATTAACGATTTTAAACAATATCTAGGTATCCGTCTATCGTGATGACACAAAATTGGAAGTGGAGAAGCAAGGAGAAACATTTAAACCAGGCCTCACCTACAATGTGGTGGTGGCGCTGAAACAAATGGACGACACCCCAGTGAAGGCTACTGTACCAAAAAGAGTCCAGGTAAAGCCTCATTTTTGTTGTTGAAGCCAGTGTTGTTCTTGTTCTTGTCACCAAGACTTTTAGCTCTTTTAAAGCAGCTTTATTGATCAATCGGACGACTAAATCGACTTAAAATAATCCTTTTGCAAATCGCAAACCTTATTATGATTTTTTTAGGTCACAACAATCTACAACTATCCATACAATGTCGATGGACCAAGTCAACAAGAGGACAAAGAGGTTTGGAAAGTCTCTTAAAACTCTTAAAGCGAAATGCTATGCGATCTATTCCATTCCACGTAGAATTTTATGCTGTTTCCGAAGATGTATTCCGTTTTTGCTAAATGGCAATCTGCCAGGAGTTATAAGCGGCTAAAGTTTTCTTGTGAAAATGAGTTGGAACTAGAGCAGAACTTTAGCGCTGCCGGGACTCGAACCCGTGACCTTTCGCTCACCGGACAACCGTGCTAACCATTACACCGCAACACCCTTGATCCCTTACTCCAGAGGGAGTTAACAAGGCAATTCAAAGTTAACTAGTGTGATCTTTCGGGTATTAGCGGCATCTTAACGGCCTTTTTTCGGTTTGGGCTAGGTGGAGTCGTGGCCGAGTGGTACAGAGCGAGACCTCGGGGGTTCGACCCCAGCTTTGGATTTTTCTTTTGTTGGAACTGGAGCAGAACAAAAACTTTGGCGTTGCCGGGACTCGAGCCCGTGACCTTTCGCTTACTGGACAACCGTGCTAACCATTACACTACAACACAACTGGTCTCCCTTACCCCAGAGGGAGCTAGCTAATGTGCCTCTTAGCTTAAGAGGTCTTAGAGGCCTCTCAGAGGCCTCTTAGCGATCTCCTTGTGGGCGGGCATCGGTCGAGCCGTGGCCGAGTGGTACAGCGCTCGTTTCCAGAGCGAGGCCTCGCTGGTTCGACTCCCACATTGGATTCATCTTTTGCTTTTTTCAAGAAATCATTTAACAAAACGGAATATATATTCGGAATCAACATAAAATTCTGGTAGAATGGTCGATAGGTCGACGGTCGATTCTGATAGAATGGTATAGATCGCATAGCCGGCTCACCCAGTTGCCTTTCCCTTGTTAGGATTACTAAATGAGGATCTGGCACGAGTTATTATCAACTTATAGTTCTAATTAGTCTAAAGTTCAACTTTGGATCTAAAAAAGCTTATCTAGTAAAGAAAATAGCCTTTTGGACTTAAAATTTATTCAATTCAATTCAACTACCGAATTTTAGGTGAAAATCGTTGACCTCGATGCTCACGGGACCTCGGTTTTAAGCCTTCAACCACCCATCAACAGCACATCGCTTCGTGTTGAGGTTGAAGAGAATTCGATATAGAGAATTAGATTAGATTCAAGATTAGATAAAGAATTCAAGATAAGATAAAGCTATCAAAAGATTAGAGATGAAAGATTTAGATAAGAAGTACCCTAAAGTCGCGAGTATAAGTTCTGTTTGGTTTTCGCATGCAAATTGACGGCTGTCTCCGGTGCGGTGTGTCGAGGGTTCGACCCCCGCTGCAGCATAACTTTTTGCTTTTTAAGAACAATAATAGAAGTAAATTTATTGAGGGCTATAGCAATTTTATGCTGTTATTTGTTGTTCCGGGCGTGGCTCGGCGCGTCCGCCCTGCTCCTCTCCGGTGCTCAGTCTTATGGATCCCTCCCTGGTCTCTTCATCCGTCCCTGGCCTCTTCATCCGTCCATGGCCTCTTCATCCGGCCAAAGTCCACGTCGACGGTCGAAAGAGATGCTTTCCAGCGTCTTCTTCAACACTATCGTCTGGATGTACGCCTCCACGGACTCGACAATGCCGATGTCCTTTGCGTATTGTCTGTGGTAGCTCGTTACTACCCCGTCCCACGTCATCACATATGGGATAATTCTCGTCTTGCACTTCATCTCAGCTCCCAGGCTATTTGCCAACACATCATATTTCCGCTTCTTCTCGGTCTCCACGGTTTGCAGTCGGTCCTGGCTTGTAATGCCGACCTCGATCAGGGTCACCTCATGGCGCTTCGTGTACAAGAATATCAGGCCGGTTAGCCTGGGTCTTGGTTGATGTCTGCACCCTTGTGTCTACTCTGATCTCGACATTCTCGTTGGCCACAACCTCCTGCACCGAGTGAACAAATAGCAATGGTGATAGGCTGTCACCATGTAGGTGACAACCCTGTAGTATCCCGCGCTCCAAGAACAATAATAAAAGTTTATATAACAATAAAATGTATAAAAACCCAACAAAAAGAAATTCAAAGCAATTAAAGCGAATGTAAATTAAGGCAGAACTTATACTCGAGACTTAGATAAGATAAGATTTAGATCTGAAAGATTTAACGAAGATCTTTAGGCTCTCTACGATCGAGCTGGAAAAGACAACTTCACCAACTCGCAGATCTACTCGAGCTTGTGAGTTTTAAAGCTTTAATTCTTGAATTCTTGGATTCTTTTGATCCTTTTGTTCACCTTTTTTGATCTTTTTTCTCGTGCACTCAAAAATTTCACTATTTTTCTTTCAAATTTGGTGAAGAGAAAAATGAGGAATTCAATGAAATTCAGTGAAATTCAGTGAAATTCAGTGAAATTCAGTGCACCAGAAAGGGAATGTTTAGAGAGAGAAAACCCGATGAAAACTAGCATCAATGCTAGTATCAATTTTGCCTTTAGATTTGTCGACTCCTCAAAATCGCCCACTAATTCATACCTTCAATTGATTGCTGATAATGAGGGAACAGTTGATGCCGGGAAACAGCTCTCATTTACTGTCAAAGCAACCGAGAATCTCAAAGTCCTCTCGTATCAAGTTCGTTTAGAGAAATATATCAAAAGAATGTTTGCAAAACGTTTTGGAAAACTTGGAAACGAGAGGAAACTGAAAAATAAGTTAAAGGCCAAAAATCAGTGCCTATTAAGGCTTCTTTGATCGTGAGCTTGTAGTGTAGTGGATACCGAACAGAAACCAAATCTGGTCTTGTCTTGTCTCCGAAACAAGCAACCAATCTTTTCCCAGGTTCGATCCCGTCTTTTGTTTTTATTTTATTTTGATGTTTTGACCAGCTCAGCTTTTGTTATATAGGTTAATGGGTTACTGTAAATGGGTTACTGTAGATGGCTTACTGTAAATGGGTTACTGTAGATGGCTTCCTGTAGATGGCTTCCTGTAGATGGCTTCCTGTAGATGGCCTACTGTAAATGGGTTACTGTAGATGGCTTCCTGTAGATGGCTTCCTGTAGAGGCTTCCTGTAGATGGCTTCTTGTAGATGGCTTCCTGTAGATGGCTTCCTGTAAATGGGTTACTGTAGATGGCTTCCTGTAGATGGCTTCCTGTAGATGGCTTCCTGTAGATGGCTTCCTGTAGATGGCTTCCTGTAGATGGCTTCCTGTAGATGGCTTCCTGTAGATGGCCTACTGTAAATGGGTTACTGTAAATGGGTTACTGTAGATGACTGGCTGTAAATGACAAGATTTAGATTTTTATTACAATTGCCAATTTGTAGCAATTGATAAATTAAAGAACATTGATTAATATTGATATTAATTGACAATTGATAAGATAAAGAACTAATTTTTTGCTGTAAAAAGACGAATAAATGATTCGATTTTAAGTTCTTAAGAATAAATCATTAATTTCAAACTAAAAATCTATTTGAAAGTGATTGAATGCTAAAATTTTTGATAGAGTAAGTAAAAAAGGACAAAAACTTGAAATTTTCCTTGAAAAACCTTGAAAACCTTAAGAAATTGTCCAGGTGATGTCTCGTGGTTCGGTCGTTCTCTCGCAAGAAGTGCCCGTCGACGCCGATCACACAACCATCAAATTCATCGCTACGAATCAAGTAGAAATCTAGTTGTGATCAAAATTAGCATAGATTTCGAATATTTTTCAAATATTCTAATACCGTCGTATTCAGATGGCCCCGAAATCTCGTCTAATCGTTTACGCGGTTCGTCCATCAAATCAAGAAGTCCTCGTCGATGCCACTGATTTCAAAGTTGAAGGATTATTCAGGTATCGAGCCAATTTTTGACTGCTTCTTCCGAATTGAAGTGTTCTTCCGCAAGCTCATTACTCATGGTCCGAAATAAATAGTAATCATAGGGGGCGAGGTCCGGACTGTATGGGGAATGCGCCAAAAGTTCCCAAACAAGGCTATTGATTTTAGAGCGAGTCAGTTTTGCAAAGTCAAGGCGCGCATTGTCCTGAAGGGGAACGACCTTTGACTTGGAGGGCCTATTCTTCTTTAGGGATTCACTCATCTTTTCCAACTGCATAAGATCCGAACCAAGCCTGAGCCTAAGCCTAAGCCTTCCAAATAATTTCCATTATTATTGACGACTTCCACCCATTTCACAGGCAATTTGCGGATTCCTCTTTCGTAGTAGGATTTTGGTTTGTGTGTGAGACAAGTGTGAGACTCAAAAATGGAGGACTGGAGATGTCGAGATGTCCCAGTTTGAGCATTTGAGCACTTTCTTTAAAAGAAACCCATTTTGGTGTCAATGGAAAAGTTGTAGAGAATCAAAAATTAGGCTTATAGCCAAATTTCCAAAAAGATACACTTAGTAGTTTTGCTTAAAATGCTAGTTTTGAGAAAATTCGTAAATTTGGCATTTCTTGAAAACCAGTTTTTGAATCGTTCTGAAAATTTGGATATAAGCTTGATTTTTGATTCTCTACAACTTTTCCATTGACACCAAAATGGGTTTCTTTTGAAGAAAGTGCTCAAACTGTCACATATGAAAATAGCCGGCGGTTTTCAATTCACCAACCCAATATTAAAGCCAACATGCTAGAAAGATTACTTTTATATGTAAAAATTGAAAGAATAAAGTCCGGCAAAGGGTCACGAAGCTAAAAAAAGATTGAACGAAAACTAGAAGCAAGAGTGCGCGGCTGAAATCAACTGCGCAGCTTGGCTTTACGAAGTTGATGCCAACTAATGTTAAGTTAATTGGTTTTTATCATTTTCTATAGCGGAAGCTTTGTTTTTGTGAATTTTTAGTTGAAAAAAACGTTAAAACGTTGACAAAACCGCAAAAAAATAAAATGAAATGAACAAGAATGAAAAAAAAAAGAATTTTCGCGCTTGGGAGGGGTACGGTAGTTTTACCATGCTTTAAAACGCCAACCTAGGATCCCTCCAGCTTTTGCCAAATTTACGAATTTTCACAAAACTCGCAACAAAACATGCATTTTAAGCGAAACTACTAAGTGTATCTTTTTGGAAATTTGGCTATAAGCCTAATTTTTGATTCTCTACAACTTTTCCATTGACACCAGAATGGGTTTCTTTTGAAGAAAGTGCTCAAACTGTCACATATGACAATAGCCGGCAGTTTTCAATTCACCAACCCAATATATTGACTATTTAAACGATCATTTGATGAAGAATGAAATTACGCATCGAATGACACCAAAAACAACTTAAAATATAATATTCATGCAAAATGAAATATTCGTCAAAATACGGCTGAAAAAATGCCCGTACAGTAAGGCAGACAGAAAGACAGACAGAAAGACAGACAGATACCGTAACCCCCCTTCCCCTTCCCCTCCTTTTCCGTCATTTCATCTGTGAAAATTCGTAAATTTGGCATTTCTTGAAAGCCAGTTTTTGAATCGTTCGTAAAGTTTGGCTATAAGCCTAATTTTTGATTCTCTACAACTTTTCTATTGACACCAAAATGGGTTTCTTTTGAAGAAAGTGCTCAAACTGTCACATATGACAATAGCCAGCAGTTTTCAATTCACCAACCCAATAGTTAGCTTTTCTTTAAACAAGTTATCTTTTCAGAAACAATGTCAGCTTGTCTATTGATCGAAGCTCGGCCGAACCCGGAGAAACCATCAAGTTCAAGGTATTACTGTTCAATAGTTAGAGTTTTAAAGTTTTAAGGAAAATTTGAGTTTTTCATCATAAAGATCGATCTTTTGGGTTAATTTAGAAGAAATTAAATGCAAATTTGATGTATTGCGAGCATTGCATTGCAACATTTACGTTTAACATTTCGATTTGAGTTTTATTTCCAAATTTACATTTAAAACTTTGAAAAAACTTGAGATAATAATGCTAAACGATGAATTTCTTCATAAATGCAATTATTTTAAGGTTTTTTTTTTCAGATTCGTGCCGATCCAGACTCCTATATTGGACTCTTAGCCGTTGATCAAAGCGTTCTCTTGTTAAAGAGCGGAAATGATATCACAAAGCAATTGGTAAGCAATTGTAAACATTGTAAACATTGTAAAAAGTTAAAATAAAAAGCTAGAACTTGAAAAATTGTAAATATTGTTTAAGCTTGAATAAAGTAAAAGACTTTTTCAAGACGATTTCTGTCAGTGATCCTTTATGGGAATCTGTCAGTGATCCTTTCCTCTAAAACTTTTTCTATAAAGCTATTGTAAAGAAATATTCTTTGCGTGCTTCACTCAAGACACGTTATTTCTTGTTTCGAGATATCTGATCTCACTTGAACTTGAACGAGAACTAAGGCACTTTATTCAATAACCGACTGACTCGGAATTTTTGGGCTCTCACTTGAGGCTTTGGGCCCTTTATTTTTATGTTTATATACCAAAAGATAGAAGACATTAAGGGCTATCTTTTGGTATATTAAACATAAAAATCCCTTTAAATCGGGCTGAGAAATAGACGTCTAAAGTTGGTCGACCAACTCGACCTCGACTTCGACCCCTCGATTAACTTTAGACGTCTCTTTCTTAGTCCCTTTTTGTGATATATTTATGGTTAGTGTACCAAAAGATAGAAGACATTCATGGCTATCTTTTGGTACCTTAAAAATAAAAATAACATAAAAAGGGACTAAGAAAAGAGACGGCTAAAAGTTGGTCAAGGGATCGAGGTCGAGGTTGAGTTGGTCGACCACTTTGACGCCTCGTTCTCAGCCCCTTTTGGTGATTTTTTTATGTTTATATACCAAAAGATAGAAGACATTAAGGGCTATCTTTTGGTATATTGACCATAAAAATCTCTCTAAATAGGGCTGAGAACGAGGCGTTTAAAGTTGGTCGACCAACTCGACCTCGACCATGACCCCTCGACCAACTTTCGACACAAGATATTCAGCTAACAAGCTACAAAACAATAAATGATTTGGGGCGCGAAATAGAATGAAGGCGTACGGATTTCCGCAAAACTTTTCCAATACTTAGGCTGTCAGAGTTAGGAAACTTTTTAGTGGCTATTCGCCACAGCTATCAAGCTATCAAGCTATCAAGCTACCAAGCTATCAAGCTATCAAGCTACCAAACTATCAAGCTATCAAGCTATCAAGCTATTAAGCTATAAAGCTATCAAACTATCAAGCTATCAAACTATCAAGCTATCAAGCTATCATCAAGCTACCAAACTATCAAGCTATCAAGCTATCAAGCTATCAAGCTATCAAGCTATCAAGCTATCAAACTATCAAGCTATCAAGCTATCAAGCTACCAAACTATAAAGCTATCAAGCTATCAAACTACCCAACTATCAAGCTTTCCAAAAAGTACTAAAATCTTAATTGTTACCATATTTAGTAAGCCAGAAAGGATGGATTTACGTTGTTTTTGCAAATTCCAGATTGAAACCGATATCGAAGAATATGATACGACATCTGATCGTTATCGTCCATGGGAATCCTTCGGAAGATCTCGTCGGTGAGTAGATTTAAGAAGATTTCTTTTAAAAAAAGCTATAACTTAAAAGAGATCTTTTTAGATGTAGCTCTCTTTTTAGATCTAGCTTTTTAGATTTTGCAGAAAAGTAGCTCTTTTCTGTGAAATCTTATTTGATGCTTTGATTTTGAATATCTCTGATTCTCTCCGATATTTGATTCTTGTCCTTCCTCTAAAGTACTCTAAGGACGGAGCCCACTTTGTATTGCTTTTCTTTGGCTTTGAAACACTGAACCAACGATTGATTCTATTTTATTGTATCTGAGTCCCAAGAGCTGGACTCAGAGATCCAGTGGAATATCCGTACTTCTTAGGTCTTGGTCGAGCTGCGTCTATCATTAAATATAAAATGTAAAATATAATTAAATATAATTAAATAATATAATCAAAATTTCAGCTCAATATGGTATCCGTGGTGGGGAATTGGTGGTAAAGATGCGGCCACGATTTTTGAGGTAAAGAATTTTGAAAAAAAAACAACAAACAACAACATAAAAAACTTTCCTTCCTTTCTTTCCTTTCTTTCTTTCATTTCTTTCTTTCATTTCCTTCTTTCATTTCCTTCTTTCCTTTCTTTCTTTCCTTTCCTTCTTACCTTTCCTTCTTTTCTTTCTTCTTCCTCTTTTCTTTCTTCTTCTTTCCTTCTTTCCTTTCCCTCTTTCCTTTCCTTCTTTCCTTTCCTTCTTACCTTTCCTTCTTACCTTTCCTTCTTTCCTTTCCTTCTTTCCTTCCTTTCTTTCCTTCCTTTCTTTCCTTTCCTTTCTTTCATTTCCTTCTTTCCTTTCCTTCTTACCTTTCCTTCTTTTCTTTCTTCTTCCTCTTTTCTTTCTTCTTCTTTCCTTCTTTCCTTTCCCTCTTTCCTTTCCTTCTTTCCTTTCCTTCTTACCTTTCCTTCTTTCCTTGCCTTCTTTCCTTTCCTTTCTTTCCAACCTAATAAGTAATAAGAAATTTTTAAAAAAAGTAATTTGGCTTCATTTTCCACACAAGAGCTGAATCATTTACTTTCTGGGATTGTCCAAGAGTTACAGAGTTTATGGATATAATATAAATGAATATATACTTTCAGAACGCGGGTTTGGTCGTTTTGACTGACGCTTATTTGTACCGTGAACCAGAGCCACCAAGTAAGTTTTTTTTTTCTTGAAAATTTTCTTAAAATTTCTTAAACTTAGAGGAAAAGTCCTCAAATCCGGGAATTCATCGATTTTAATTCAAAAATTTGATCCTAAAGCTTGATGAGAGTATTTTGTGGTTAGAAAATGTAAATTTGTAAATTCACCTTTTCTGGTGCACGAAATTCTTCATTTTTCGAATAGAATGAGGAATTTACGCACCAGAAAGCGTGCGTTTACGTTTGCTTACGAGAGCACAAAGTACACGATGAAAAGCAGTGTTGTGCTTTGTGCTCGATTTTACAAACGCCTTTTTTCTAATCTACTGAAATCTCTATTTTCATCAGATCACAAGAAAACGATGATTTCAATGCATTAGAAAGAGTGCGTTTACAAATTTCAGCACAAAGTACAAAGAGAAGAAAGATAAGAAGAAGTTAATGTCAAAAATTGATGAATTTTTCGATTGAGTGCCCCCAAAAACAGAGAAATGAGCTCGATTTTGAAAAGATTTCAAAAAAAAAGAAAGAAAACAATTCTACAATTTGATAGAATCTTTTTTGAATATCTATTTATCAGATAGAATTCTAGATATAGAAAAAACAAACTACCGTAAATACTGTAATAGTACCCCAGCCCCATAATGACGGTGCGGAGTGTTGTGTAGTCTAGTTTTGACGGTGCGCAGTGGCACGTAGTCTAGCTTTGACGGTGCGGAGTGTTGCGTAGTCTAGCTTTGACGCTGCGGAGTGGCACGTAGTCTAGCTTTGACTGTGCGGAGTGGCACGTAGTCTAGCTTTGACGGTGCGGAGTGTTGCGTAGTCTAGCTTTGACGGTACAGAGTGGCACGTAGTCTAGCCTTGAACGAGTTTTTCTCGACACTGGTTTATGCTACAACGCCCGCTTAGGTATCAAAAAATAACCCTGAATTTCATCTATTTTTTGATACTTAAACGCGCATTGTAGCATAAACCAGTGTCGAGAAAAACTCGTTCAAAGCTAGCCTACGCCTCCGCACCGTCATTATGGGGCCGGGGTACTATTACAGTATTTACGGTATCTAAGGGAAAGTTGAAAGTTTTAAGTTCGCAAAATCGACCTCAAAACTCAGCTTGCTGTTTGGCAATGAAGTGAAAAAAATGGGGGCACTCTTGACACTTTTAAAACATTTAAAGCTTAAATTTCAAAAAAACTCATCGAAATTTATAATAATTTCAATTTTTTATAAAATAAAGAAAGTTTTTGAAAGGCTTTAAAAGTTTCAGCACTTTTTCTAAGTTCACACGGTGATTGGCTTTCCAATTTTCAGTTTTGCTTGCTAAAATGGTGGGGAAATGAAGGAAATTTGAAATTCGATAAGAGATAATAAAAATAGATAATAGATAACAAGAAAAAAAATAGATATATCTAAGCGAAAGAGGGTTTTTCTTACCGTATTTCCTCTAATAAAGGCTTCCCTAACTTTAGACGCCTCGTTCTCAGCCCTATTTAGAGAGATTTTTATGATTAATATACCAAAAGATAGAAGACATTAAGGGCTATCTTTTGGTATATTAAACACAAAAATATCTTTAAATAGGGCTGAGAACGAGACGTCTAAAGTTGGTCGACCAACTCGACCTCGACCTCGATCCCTTGACCAACTTTAGACGTCTCTTTCTTAGCCCCTTTTTATGTTATTTTTATTTTTAAGGTACCAAAAGATAGCCATGAATGTTTTCTATCTTTTGGTACACTAACTCACTCAAAGATATCACAAAAAGGGGCTAAGAAAGAGACGTCCAAAGTTAATCGAGGGGTCGAAGTCGAGGTCGAGTTGATCGACCAACTTAGACGTCTATTTCTCAGCCCGATTTAAAGGGATTTTTATGTTTAATATATCAAAAGATAGAAAACATTAAGGGCTATCTTTTGGTATATTAACCATAAAAATCTCTCTAAACAGGGCAGAGAACGAGGCGTCTAAAGTTGGCGTTTGTTAGAGGAAATACGGCATCTTGTTTGTTAGCCGACTCTGTGTCCATCGTGCTCGATCGGAACCTTTCCGGTGCACTGAATTCTTCACTTTTTCTCCATTTTAAGCTATAGCTGCAAGAAAAATGAAGAATTCAGTGCGCCAGAAGGCTGCGTTTACGATCAAACACAAAGTACAAATGTTTGAGCTAAAAATTAAGCTACCTTTCCCTCTTTTCCCACCGAATAACTTTATGTTGCTCGTTTTTTTTTCTGTTGCATGCAGTGTTTCTTTGTTCTCGATCTTTATAACTAATCAATTTCCGATCAAATTCAAAATCTGAAGCCTATAGTAGCCTATAGTAGAGATTTATTGAGCTGGATACTTTAAAAATGACCTGCATGGCCTCTTCCCCGCGGAGTACACGCCCACGAAAATACAATGCTTTTGAATCAATCTAGAGAAAAGCACGAACTCAAGGTGACCTATTGTGTATCAATTTGAACTTGTTTAAAACAATTTGAACTTGTTTAAATCGATTTGAATTTGTTTAGATCGATTTGAACTTGTTTGAAGCTAATTTGAACTTGTTTAAAACAATTTGAACTTGTTTAAATCAATTTGAACTTGTTTAAAACAATTTGAACTTGTGTAAATCGATTTAAATTTGTTTAGATCGATTTGAACCGGTTTGAAGCCAATTTGAACTTGTTTAAAACAATTTGAACTTGTTTAGAGCCAATTTGAACTTGTTTAAATCAATTTGAACTGGTTTGAAGCCAATTTGAACTTGTTTAAATCGATTTGAATTTGTTTAGATCGATTTGAACTTGTTTAAATCAATTTGAACTTGTTTAAATCAATTTGAACTGGTTTGAAGCCAATTTAAACTTGTTTGAAGCTAATTTGAACTGGTTTGAAGCCAATTTGAACTTGTTTAAAACAATTTGAACTCGTTTAAATCAATTTGAACTCGTTTGAAGCCAATTTGAACTCGTTTGAAGCCAATTTCTACTTTCCAAGCCACCATAATGCAATTGGCGAAATGCTAGAAGTTGTTTGAGAGAAAAAGAGAAAGAAACACGAAAAGAAAAAGCTGAACCCGGGACCGAACCATGATCCTGTGGGCGGGAGCCCAAATCGTTATCTACCAGGCTACCAACGTCATTATTTGCCAGCCCAGAGGGAGCCTTTTAAAGCATCCTTTTGACTCCGACGACACCAAATTTTTGATTGAATTTTTACAGACCTGGGAAGTGATTTGGGAAATTTTGATTATGGATTTGGAGCGTTGTTAGTCTAGTGGATAACTCGTTAGATTTGAGCCCACATGATCAGAGTTCGATCCACAGTGCAGCTCCTTTTCATTTTTCATTTTTCTTTTTAAAGCACTTTTAAAGCAACTTCTAGAAAGACATTTCGTTGTTTTTGATTTCATATTCGAATTCCTCATACTCGATTCGATAAAGTGCACTAAAGTCGAGACAAAAGCTCACCTTGAGTTCTTTCCCTAGTTAGGAATTAGGTTTATCTAAAATCTAAAGTCTAAAATCATTTAGAAACTATTTTAGAAAAGAATCGCTCTTAATAAAAATATCTAGTCAAATTTTCATAAAATATCTAGTCAAATACATGATGAGAACGGGGATGGGCGTTGATTTGTCGGCATTGAACGCGGGCGAGTGGTTCCCATCAACGCCGGCCACGTTTCCACGCGGGGAAAGCACCCGCCTCTCGCCGACACACTCACCCGTCAACCATGTTCGCAAGGAGTTCCCTGAGACGTGGCTTTGGATAAACATTGAGCACAATAATATGTTAGTTTAAGTAAATAGCTAAAAAAAGGATTGAGGCCAAGCAGAACCTGGCCAAGCTAGCCAAGCCAAGGCCAAGCTAGCCAAGCCAAGGCCAAGCTAGCCAAGCCAAGGCCAAGCTAGCCAAGCCAAGGCCAAGCTAGCCAAGCCAAGGCCAAGCTAGCCAAGCCAAGGCCAAGCTAGCCAAGCCAAGGCCAAGCTAGCCAAGCCAAGGCCAAGCTAGCCAAGCCAAGGCCAAGCTAGCCAAGCCAAGGCCAAGCTAGCCAAGCCAAGGCCAAGCTAGCCAAGCCAAGGCCAAGCTAGTCAAGCCAAGGTCAACCTAGCCAAGTTAAGGCCAACCTAGCCAAGTTAAGGCCAACCTAGCCAAGTTAAGGCCAACCTAGCCAAGTTAAGGCCAACCTAGCCAAGTTAAGGCCAACCTAGCCAAGTTAAGGCCAACCTAGCCAAGTTAAGGCCAACCTAGCCAAGTTAAGGCCAACCTAGCCAAGTTAAGGCCAACCTAGCCAAGTTAAGGCCAACCTAGCCAAGTTAAGGCCAACCTAGCCAAGTTAAGGCCAACCTAGCCAAGTTAAGGCCAACCTAGCCAAGTTAAGGCCAACCTAGCCAAGTTAAGGCCAACCTAGCCAAGTTAAGGCCAAGCAGAACCTGGCTAAGCTAGCCAAGCCAAGGCCAAGCTAACCAAGCCAAGACCAAGCATTGAGAAATTGAAAAATAAAGATTAAGTGAGCAAAAAAAAGTGAATGATTTAAAAGTTAAAATTTTCATTTTCAAATCAACCTTTCATTCGTTTTCTTTGCAATAACCCTTTGTTTTTCTTTGTTATTTTTATATTCAGATCACAGTTTTTCGTATAAAAGCTCGCCCAGCCCCCTTTGCTCCACCCCTTTTCCCATTGGCAATCTAACTTTGAACTCAAATTTCTCAGTGTCGAGCTGTTCGATTGCAATAGTTTTTGTACCAATCGATAGAGAAAGACTTGGCGCATCTAATGATACCAAGAAGATCAAAATTGGACAATCCAACACTAAGATATTTGAGTTCAAAGTTAGATTGCTAATGGGGAAGGGGCGGGGCCATAGACCTTTTATACGCGCCCCATTAGCTTATCAGCAATGGGAAAAGGGTTTATCAGATGTTCTATAACCTTTAGAAAAGGCATTACTTGTCGGGAAAATACTCTAATTGTTTCATTGATTTCTATCTAAAAATTGAACACTTAGAAAAATCTAGTTCTTCTATAAATTTCAATTTTTTTTTTCTATATTTTCACTAACCTCTCCCCTTCAACTATTCCTTTGTTTGTTGAGTTGAAAGTGCAAAATAATCTGCGGTGTTTCTTGGAGCCTTGAGTTGCCTGCGTATTGTAATCCTCTTCTTTTCTTTTCTTTTTCTTTCCCCGGTCAATCCACCCATTTTCCCCCGGCACGTTAGAATGAGAAAATCAAAAATCAAAAAATTTCCTTTAGCTCCTAAGGTGATCGCTTAGTTTCAGTGATGGCTTTCAAATCGTTGGAATTGGGTGAAGGGGCCGCGATGGCCGTACAGGGGTATGGGGGCGCTCCAGTAGTGCAAAGTGGTGAGCCACCGAAAATTCGATCCCTATTCCCCGAGTCGTTTGCATGGATCGAGGAAAATACTGAGTAAGGAAATAGAAACGAAGAAGAGATTAAGATTAGAAATGCAATCCTTTACAGGAACCTTTCAAAATCCCAGTTTTAGAAGCCAGTTAAAGCCAGTTAAAGCCAGTTAAAGCCAGTTAAAGCCAGTGCAAAGCCAGTTTAAGCCAGTTTAAGCCAGTTAAAGCTAGTTTAAGCCAGTTAAAGCCAGTTTAAGCCAGTGCAAAGCCAG